CTTAATCAAACTTGAAAATATAATGCTTAAAATTTTGTTAAACTTTTTGAATCAATATATCAAAAAACAATACACTCTAATAAAAAAATACTCAAAATAAATATACTCTAATAATAATTCTCTTTTTTTATGTAAATTTTTTTTTCACTAATTGAATTATTCAAAAGTGCTTAAAAAAGTATTTTAAATTGAGCATCAAAAAATTTGTATTATTTTTATTACTTACAGCTAAATAGAACTGATTTTTAACATGAATGTTGCCAAGACCAATTGTGGTAATTGTGTTGAACGCGAAGAACAAACCGTGCATAAATGACCTAAACATAAATTATAATATTTATTAATATTTAATTATATTATTTATTAATATTTATTAATATTAATAAATAAAAATTAAAAAGTTTTCAGTCAAAATTAAAGTTTTAATTTGCAAAAGTGAAAAATATTTCAGTGGATATTATTTTATTTTAATTTTGCTTCTGAAAATTATTGAGAAAAAATTTTTCTGAAAACAAATTGCATTTGACAGATTCATTTATTTTTGTTTAAGTAATAAATAAAAGTAACAAATTTTTTTTTTACTAAAAACTTTGCAAGTATATTAGTGATAATTTGCTTTTATTATATTCTAATAATCAGAAAATGAGTAAAGTTGATGCATATTCATAGCTTTACCAAACTGGTCCTTTCTCGAAGTGGTTGAAAAGCATACTTCCAATAGAGCAATATCCTAAAATTAGTCCAAAATATGAAGCGATTGGAAGTTGTAATCTACCATCATCATCCTCATCTTCATCTAGTACACTATTCCGTCGTGAAGTTCGCCGTTTTCTGCATATTCATTTTTGCATATTCACCAAATCCATGATAATAATTAATAACAAATAAAAAATTAAAGAGAATTATTATTAGAGTATATTTACTTTTGCGTATTCATCAAATCCATCGTAATAATTAATAACAAATAAAAAATTAAAGAGAATTATTATTAGAGTAAAAATCAAAGA